TCTGGCACTTGAATACATAGTGGATATATACACTGCAAAAAGAAGTACAACTGTTGTATTCATCAGTCAGTACCCCAATATTCTGGAATCAAATTGCAGGCTCCAACAGAGATTATGGTCAAGGTTTTCTAAACTCTGAAGCAGGATAGGATTGGTTCTAGTTACTATTTGGATGAAAACCCACCAAAGAACACTAAGGTTATAAGGCTGGATTAGAAGTCTTTTTAAAAATGCCCAAAGAAGGTAATGATGGACTACTTCTATAGTATTGCCAAGAAAACTACATGGATACATTCATGAAGTCAAGAAATGATGAACTCAATTCCTTTATCTTTCAGCTAAACCAAGTAACTAAATATTCTGTGTTTTAATACAACTATCAGAATAAATTGTGGAAACTTTTCCTCTACAGTTTTACAAATGTGGTTATTTGCATCCCACAAAAGTCAATCTAGACCAGTGGTTCTCAACTTTCCTAATGCTGCGACCCTTTAATACAGTTCCTCATGTTGTGGTGACCCCCAACCATAAAATTATTCCTAAAACCATTGAAAATATGTGTTTTCCTATGGTCTTAGGCGACGCCTGTGAAAGGGTCATTCGACCCCCAAAGGGGTCCCGACCCACAGGTTGAGAATCACTGATCTAAACCAAAGGATCCCCCCCCCATGATCAATCTGTAATCAGCCTTGAAATAAACATTGTTATGCAAAACTAACATTCATCAATTCTCCTCCTTCCTATAGATCTATTTAATCAAACTTATTATCCCCCATCTGATTCACTGGGATTACAGCATTCAGAATTTCTATTTCTGGACATTCTTGTGTGGGAAATTTGGGCATTGTAGTTCCATCTACCATAAACCACAGCCATGAGCCAATTAGAATCAAGCAGCAAGGCAGTAGTGAGTTTATTTTCAGAGTCCCCCCTCCCCCACTCAATTGTCTTCAATTCTGGGAGACTGCTTGGACAAGTCCCTGAAGTTTTCTTGGCGAAGTATTTTGGAAGTGGTTTGCTATTGCCTCCTTCCTAGGATTTAAAAAGTATGACTGGCCCAAGGTAACCCAATGGGCTTTATTCTACCCTAGTTAAGGTGGAACTAGAACTCATAGTCTCCCAGTTTCTAGCCTCTAGCTTTCACTAAAACAAAACTGCCTTTGTAACATTATTTATTATTATTATTGGTTCGATTTATATGCCGCCCTTCTCCGGAGACTCGGAGCGTCTTACAATGCGTTAAGCAAGCCTTCATACTTTTTGTATATACATGCTTAGTAGGGCTTTCGCCCCCCCCCAAGCGGTGTTATTTTTTATACAAAGTCATCTTATTGCCCCCACAATCCGGGTCCTCATTTTACCTACTTCGGAAGGATGGAAGGCTGAGTCAACCTTGAGCCTGGTGAGATTTGAACTTGCAGTAATTGCAGGCAGCTGGTGCTACTTAAAAGCACTTTAGTCTGATGTGCCACCAAGGCTCTTTAACATGTGAAGAAATCAGACATGCAACCATTGTATTTTGCCTCAAGGAGGCTATTAATTAATGGAGTAGTTTAAATGCACCCTATAAACAGAAATAATCTAAAACCTATCTTCTTCTACCATATCTGGTGTACTGGAGAAAAGGAAAATATTGTATAGAACCTCAATTACTGTACAGAAGAATTGAACAAAAGAGATCACAGTATCAAAGATATGAGCCAATATTTGGTCACTGAAGATTTGGTCACTGAACTAGAGCAAATATTCTGGAAGTTAATGTTAAATGGGCCCTAGAAAATATTGCTAACATGAAAGCTGCAGGAGTTGATGAAGTTTCAATAGAAATGTTTGAGATGATGCTATTAAAGTGCTACTTGCACATTGGAAGCAACTAAAGAAGATAGCAGGGGCCAAAGGACTGGAAAAGATTAATTTGTATTCCAACCCACACATCCCAAAAGGAGAGGCAATGCTAAACAGTTTTGAAACTATTGCATTTATATGAGTTCTAACTTCAACAATATGATGAAATGAGAGCTAAACCTGTGTTCTAGTCCAGAGTTCCCCAACCTTTCTGGTTTAGTGGACCAGTGGGCAGGCGGGGGGGGGTTGGTTCTGCATGAGTGGTGGGGAAACACACACAGCTGTAGTTGCATGAGTGGTGGGCATGTGCACCTGCCCCTCATGCAAATGGAACATGTGTGAACACACGTGTGATGCTCATGCAAGAGGGGATGTGTGCACATACATACTCACCTGCCACTTTGGGCAGTTTGGTTCTAACTGCTTATAGCCCAGTAGTGGGCCATGGCCTAGGGGTTGGGGACCCCTGTTCTATTCTACCCTCAGTCATGGAAGTTCTCTGGTTGACTTTGGGACATTCACTATTTCTTAACCCAATCTATCTCACAGTGTTGTTGTTGAGGGAAAAAAGAAGAGGGGGCAATTCATATGGAGTTGATATACAAGAGGCAGGATATAAATCAAAATAAATAGACTTGCTAATGATACCATTTTGATGACTGAAAGAGAGGAAGAATGGAGAATGTCTTCTTGAAGATAAAAAGAAGAGGGCAAAACCTGGTTTGCTGCTCCACATTTTTTAAAAGAATCAAACTTCACATTACACCAACATGCAGGGCCAACTGAGCACAAATAGGGAAAGGCGAACTTGAAGTAGTAACACATTTTATCTTCCTGACTAAATAATTTATAGAGATATAACTATTTGGGAGAAAGACTGACAGATCTAGACAAGACATTAACATGCAGTGACATCACACTGACAAATAGGCTGTAGGCTACAGCTTTTCAAGTTGTAACATATGGCTATGAATACTGGATCATAAAAAAGCTGAATGAAGAAAATTGGTGCCTTTGAATTGTGATGCTGGATAACATGGTTGGGAATACCCTGCACTGTAATGAACAAATTATTCAGTGCTAGATGAGGTAAAACCATACTGCTCATATAAACTCTAATAATGAAACTAAAGGTTAGATGTTTTGGACATGTAACTCAAAGGCAACAATCAATGGAGAAGACCCTGCTTCTTGGAAAAATCAGAGCAACTGAGATAGAAAAGACCAAAGATGACAAGATGGTTAGATAATAGTGGCACAAGCATAACTTTACAAGAACTCAACAAAATTGTTACTGACAAACAATCCTGTAGAACCAATATCCATCAAGTCATGAATGAACCACAGTAAAGAAGTCTTTGCTACTAGGCTCATGTTTCTCTGCTCAAATTGCTATTATAGTTTCATCTAAAGGTTAAGACCAGCTACATTAGATTCCCTGCAGATACATTGAAGATGGTCTTAATCAAGCATTAGTTCAGCATCAAACATATGTGAAAGTATTATCCAGTTGGAATATCTGCTTTCCAATATTTTCAGTTATGCCACTAGCTGCCTTCCCATCTTCTTGCTACTGTAGATGATTATGTATAAGCCAGAAAGTAAGCAGAATAGGAATAACTATGAGGAAAAAAACTGTATCTGATCCAACTGAGGATTAAGTTATAGCGAGTACAGATTTGTGCCGAGAAAATGTAACAGGGTTTTAAGATTTAAAAAACAAAGAAAACTTTGCTTTATTAATGTGGAACAAATACACATTCTTGTCAAGCTTCTCCAAAAATATATCAGGAAATTAAAAAAAAAAATCAAGCAACACAAAAGCATAGGGGAAAATGTAAAGTGACTCAGCTACATAGAATTTTAGAAAAAACAGATGGGCTGAATTCAGACCAGGTCATTATTAATTGCCTAGACAGACTATTTTTGTTGGGTCTAAGCAGGAAGAAACTTCTCACTTCCTGGTCCTTTTAGATGCTGCCAGTAGCTTTTGATAATATCAGTGGTGGTATGCTGCTAGGATGCCGGTTTGAAGACACCGATTTTCAGTGATTCTGCTCTTGAGTGAATGATTCCAGTCTGTTAGGATGTAGCTGCTCCACAGTGCTTGCTATTCCCCCCATTTTCTATATCAAGTTGCTAGATGAGGTCTTCTGCTGATCTAAAGGGAGCTGCTATCATTAGGCTGATAATATTGAGCTGTATATTACATTACCTAGTCAAGTTGAAATGCAATTAAGTTTGAACAAATGTCTGGGGGTCTGAAGAGGGCAAAATAAACTCAGATTAAATCCATCCAAGGTTGAGTTGATATATATAATTCAAATATGTTGAAATATTGATAGTTACTCTGAATAGAATTGTGTGCATTCCAAATGAACTGGTTCAAGAACTCGGTGTCCTTTTGGACTCATGACTATTGATCAAACAACAGGTAGAGTCTGTGACTAGGGGTGGGGTGGGTTATGCTTATCTTAATCTCCAAATTCTAGTTTTAATCCTACCTGGGCCAGGAGGCTTTAACGATGGCAAGCCATCTTTTCAGCACCATCTGGTTTGATTATTGTAATAGATGATATTTCATGGAGCAGCCTTTGCACAGTCCAGAAGCTGCAGCTGCTTTGGGATGTGGTGACAGGAGTCCTGCTGAGTCAGTTTACAGAACTGCAAAATTGCAATGGCAGTGCTAAAATTGTTGCATTGCTTACCTGCAGGTTTTTGGGCCCAGTTCAAAGTGCTGGCCATCACCTTTAAATCATTATGCTGTACAGACTAGCACTGCAATACTATGCTGCCTTGTCAGCAATGAATTTGCCCGTCAGTAGGGACATATTATGAAGGCTTGCTAAAAATCTGCCCCATCCATCAGAGGTCAGAAATGTCTGATGGGTTCTACACTCTAGAACTCTTTTCCCTAGAGGTCTGTGCAACTACCTTCCTCGTTACATTTCAAAAACCCCTCCCGAACAGCCCTCTTGCAAAGAGCCTTTTTAAATCCAAGTTGATTCCTAACAATATCCATTGGGGTCATACAATATGTATGTATTTTATTGTTTGGCTGTGCACCGCCCTGAGTCCTTCGGGAGTATGGCAGTATAGAAATCAAATAAATAAATAAATAAATAAATAAATAAATAAATAAATAAATAAACAAATAAGTCTTTTGTATCAATTTATATTTTTAATCTGTTGTGACCCACCCAGAGGCTTGACTATTAATTTAGTTTTTAAAACTCACCCCCCAAAATAAAACCCAGCTGTATGCCAATACTATGACCACAAAAGGTGGGGAGAGAGAATAATGGCTTTCCAGTAGTATGGAAAGCAATGAGATTGTACTAAATCAGTTTTAACAGAATAACAGAGTTGGACGGGACCGTGGAGATCTTCTAGTCCAACTCCCTGTTCAAGCATATACCATTTCAGAGAAATGGTGTCCAATCTCTTCTTTAAAATCTCCAGTATTGGAGCACCCACAACTTTTGAAGACAAGCCATTCCATTGAATAATTGTTCTGTCAGGAAATTTTCTCCATAGTCCTAGTTTGGTTCTCTCCTTGTTTAGTTTCCATCCATTGTTTTTTATCTTGCCTTCAGGTGCTTTGGAGAATAGGTTGATTCTTTCTTCTTTGTGGCAGCTCCTTAGATATTGGAACACTGCTATCATGTCAGTTCTTCTTTTCATTAACATCTGTTTTAAGATATTCATTAATTTGGAATAAGCTAAAAGAAGTTGCTCATATTCTTCATTTCAACTAGAAACATATCTAAATTTTATTCAATACTAGTAAGTACAACAAATCAGTGATGGGTTTCAAATTTTTTTACTACCAGTTCTGTGGGCGTGGCGTGGCTTGATGGGCATGGCAGGGGAAGGATACTGTAAAATCCCCATTCCCTCCCACTCCAGGGGAAGGTTACTGCAAAATCCCCATTTCCTCCCGATCAGCTAGGACTTGAGAGGCAGTCAGAATTTTTACTACCGGTTCTCCGAACTACTCAAAATTTCCGCTACCGGTTCTCCAGAACTGGTCAGAACCTGCTGAAACCCACCTCTGTTACAAACGTAAGATATGTTTTGAGAAGACTGAGATAGTTTGTTTCTTTTCTATCAGGTTTAAGGGGTGAATAACACACAATTAGAATACAGCCACAATATTTGACATTTTAAATGTAACAATAAAAATAATTAAAAATACCAATTCCATTTTAAGATCTTTAAAATGACCTTTTATAATACCTTAAAGTGGAAGCAAATTTCAATTCACACATTTCCTTATAATACAGAGAAACAAACCACTTTCACTGGGCAATAGCAATGTATATTTAATTTGTGACATTAAAATCCTATTCAAGCCTGGGAAATAAATTGCAACTTACAGCAGCAGTGAGGTCACATGACTATGCCTATTCAGTTTGTATGAGACTTTTGATTTCAGAAAGTATCAGTAAAATAATTTTCTGTTCTCCTTTTGGGCTGCCAGGCACTGCAGTTGCTGACCTACATTTATAAACACGACAAAGTGGAATTCCATTGCTATTTTTGTTTTTCCATTACTCCCTTGCAACTTTGTCCCCTGCCTAGATTTAGATGTACAGCAAACAAAATCATGCCCCTATCCATCATCAGTAAAGTCAGGGTTGATTGGCTCCTCTCCCAAACCGAGCCATTTCAATGCAAGTATAATCAGATCTGCTGAAAATTGCCAGCAGAAATGCTTACCCTCTATTGCTAGTACTTTTTCTCTGTGAAAAGCAAGATTATTTCAAATTTAGCTGCTAAAAGATTTCGTGCATAACAATGTTGTCTAGTCTACAAAGTTTTTTAGACTAAATATACAGCACCTGTGTGTGTGTGTTTGGCTTTGTTCTGGACTTCTCTTCCTATTGCTTTCTTAAGCAATGTGGTCTCCCTCCAGTGGCAAAAAATGGTTCTAATTACATTTCAGTCTATAAATCAAAGACGTTATCAGACTTATCCTCAACAGCTAAAAATAGACCCATTGTGCCCTGATGAGGGATGACAAGTCCAGCACTTCATAGTGTACTTGCCAATCCATCTTCACCGATATCTGTTATATATCCATCATACGGAGTTCTCAGATTTTTTTTCTTCTATGCCAGAGCAAATGTCTCTCAAAACAAAGAATCAACATTCTAGCAGTTGTTTGCAAGAACTGTGACTTAGAAAGATAAGGAGTAGTGTTATGGTAAGCAAATAGCAAAAATAAGTCACATGGACCAAAAAAAAAAAATCATTCATTACAAAGGGAACACACAAATGATGTCAAAACTGAAAATTAATGGATCAGTTTGATCCCTGTCTTCTGAGAAGAATCACTATGTCTAGTAATAAACAGCGATTACAGGTAATCCAGGCAAGTGAAATCAAATCTGGTCAAATATCTCATGAAGTTTTTGTTGGTTGTTGAAAAACAAATCTCTTTTGAACAATTGATTTATTCAGAATAAATGCTCATTGAAAGGTAATAAAATAAAAATGTAGATGAACTTGAAAATAAGGTGAATTTTTAATTTGTTTGAGATACTATTGTGAAAACTATCTAAAAATCAGAGTGCTCAAGTTCATGAAAAAAGTTTTTATTGGAAATGGCTAAAATATAACATCAACATTGCCTATAAGGGAAAAATAAACCTGGGTTTAGCATTGAATTTAATTTTCACACATTTAAACTATATCTCATTTATTATCAGCACAATAACCATAAACGCTAATTCTCATGCTAATCTTTTAAATTTTATTATCACAGGGATATATACTTGTTGACATTGAGTCACTTTCATAATTGTTTAGCATACTGTAGTTTTAGTCAAACCACTGAGTGTAAGACACAATGAGGCATAGTGTTGCAACACCAATAATATTCTGTTTAGAGACAGAGTTGAAAAATCATACCAACTATTATGCTTGGAGCTTTAAAAATCTTGGACAATTATGTCATCTTGTTAGGGGATTTAAGATATATATTTCAGTTGGTCCAAAGTTTATTGCAGAGTGTACACCTCAAACTTTGTTTCTACATAAAAGAAAAAGATGTGCCTGAGAGTCTTGATGACTGTGTTCCCAGAGTTTTCTTGGCAGGGATTTGCAATTACTTTAAAATTTCTCAGTCTAGCCAACATCCTTAGAATCTCCAGGTAATTCTTCTACCCAAATATTAATCAGGGTAAAACCTGCTCAGCTTCTCAGATTAGCCAGGGTCAGCAAGGTGTTGTCACCTTCTAAGGTGCATATTAACTATTAATGAAAGTTGACTTGTGTCTGTGCTCCAAGCAAGTATTGGATCAAATGTAATTCTATGGTTTCTGAAAGTTTCTTAGGAGTTGCAATAGCATGGTTTTGGATTGCCTAAAGCTTTATAATGGATTGCAAACTGCCAGTTCATTCAAAATGATATATCTATGGATACTTTTAAAAGTCTTCATGATTATGTCTTTAAATAGGGAACTCCAGGGTGAATTTGTATATGCTTATTCTGCAGTTCTTACCAATGAATTCAATACTTGTAGTTATTTTGGCTCTTTTTGCCATCTACAAAATACATCCTCCAGTTATCTGTAAATGTATATCAAAGCAGGCTCTCTGTATGGTTAGGTTGACACAATGTATTAAGCCACATTTTGCTTTTAACCTTTTTAAAGTTAGGCCTAGTCACCCTGTTTACACAATGTTAATCTTTACAAGGTAATTTACAAATCCCAGCAATTGGTTTTACACATTGTGCTAAGCTAAAATCACACTAAATACATTAGAGGTTAGTATGCTATACAAAAACCTCTACAACGAGATTAGGAGAACACTCAGTGAAGATAGTTTATTCGGAGATGTAGGATTTCCAAGCCTACTTACCGGCTTACATTTGTAACAATTGTTTTCAGTGGGCCAAATAAAAGAAAGAGCAAGGTTATTTTCTACATGAGAGTTATTCTTTTTGATAACTTTGGATGGTGAGAAACCAAAACATTGTAAAAAACAACAACAATTTACGGTATCTTTTTACCCCTATAATATTGCTGGTTCTTCTCTGAAAAGTAGCCTGATCAATCTTTGGCTGACAGTAGCCAACCAAGCCATGGAATTCAAGGCATTAAATCTATTTACTTTACCCCAAACTTTGCATCTGCAGGCATTACATTGGAGGCACTCAAGTTTAATTTGGTGCTCCCCTTCAGGTTGGAAAGGTTAACTATCTTTGGCCATGAATTCTGTGCACCCTTGAGATTAAGGGCCACCAAAGCGAGAATTATGCTATTATTGATTCTCTTCACCTCTTCTCCAGCTCACTAGAGAGACTATATTAAACAAACATCAAGCCACTTCCTCAGCTTGGTGTGCCTCTTCACCTTCAGTAGCTGGGTGAATTCCCAAGGCTTCACTTCACCCTTTCTGAAACCAGCCAGTGGACCAACAGGTGTAGCTTACCTTATGTATGTCATCCTGGGAAACAGGTTTAAGTTATTATCCTAAACAAGGGATCTCTAGTGGGAGTAGGTCGAAATCAATAACTCTGATCTTTCCACGGCAGTGCGAGGCGACTGCTCAAGTTTATGGTAAATTCAGAAGAAATGGGCTAAAGCTGGGGTTTTTTTTTCTTTTCTAAAGCGGGTCATAAAATTATAAAATAGCGACGGCATCGCATCTTTTAAGTTCTTTTATTTCGGCTCTCCTTTCACTGAACGCTTGTGTTGCGAGACAGGCGGCGGCTACTAAAATAATGGCTTCAGCGTACATCCACCAAGGATACAGTTACATAAACAAACAGGCGGATCAAACCAACCTATTTGTTTTCCAAATGGTTCGGTTGCGGCTGCAACGCGTTTTGCTTTTTTTTTTTTTTTTTTTTGAAAAGTTACCGAAACGAATGCCCTGCGCCTTTCTCGCATTCCCAGCCTTGGGGTTTTTTTTTTGCTTTGCTTTTCTCTGTGCAAAAGCGGCCGGGAGCGACCTGCGATTCTCACTCCCTCTCTATGGCGAATTAGCTAACACACAAGATGGACGGAGCAGGCAAAGCCATTCGAGGCGGCGCTCATCACCCAGCCAGGGAAAAGGCCTCGGCGGCCGCTCTCACGCGACTAGACAAGGCTGAGAGAAAGGCGGGGCCCGCTAACCGCTCCCGTCGCCCCATTGGCTCGCCTTTTGTATCATCTTTGCATGTCTCGGAGCCTTCTTTTATGCGTTCGGCTTTGCCACGTGATCGGAGAGGTGGTCGGGACTTCCTGTTTGAGGTCAGGGAAGGGAGGGGGAGGGATTCTCGCCTCTCTCTCTCTCTCTCTCTCTCTCTCTCTCTCTTTCTCCTTCGCTCCTTGCTCCCTCCCCCTCGCCCCGTTGTGGTCTCGCGCTGGCTGCCTGGCGGGGCTCTTGTCAGTTAGTAACAAAATGGCTGCGGTGGCAGCAGCTCTGCTCCTGAAGCGGAGGGCACAGGCTGCGGAGGCGACGGCGGCTGCTGCTGCTGCTGCTGCTGCTAGTACTACTACTGCAAGGAGGAGTGGAGGGCCGGCTCGGCGGCATCACTGAACACAGCGGCGTTGCTTGTCCTGCCAGCGGCCCAACCCCTTTCCCTTACAAGCGAAAGCTCGGTCCGAGGAGCCGTCCCTGCGGCTGCTGCCTCCATAAATCCCCCTGGTTCCCCCAGAGAATCTCTCGTCAATCGCTGGGGAGGGACAGGAGAGCGGCGAGCGGCTGCTGCTGTGGATTCTGCTCTTAAACTGGGTGGATCCCGCGGGGAGAGGAAACGACTGACGGACCTCCTTGTGAGAAACTCAGCTGCGGGATCGCCCCGGGTTTTGCGGATCCTGTCTTTGTGAGAAAGAGACTGGATTTTTCCTTCTTCTCTGGATCCACCTATGTTTGGCTTGTCTGGGTGGATCCGTATGAAAGAGAGTGGTGGGCTCCTTCCTCACCACGAAGCCTATTTTCTGGATCCTTTTTAGGATCCCGGTACATGAGAGAGACTGCTGGAGCTCCCTTCTTTGGATCCACGTATGAAAAGCACTGCTGGTGGGTTTCCCTGCCATTTGTGGATCCTTGCCTGGATTCTTCTCCCCCTTGGATCTTCCTGAAAGAAACTGTTAGATCTTTTTTTTTTTCCTGCTTGTGTTCTACGTCTCGCTTTCCTTTAAAAAAAAAAGACTTTACTGGGTACTTGGATCTCTGTCTCAGAGTCTTCTGGCTCTTTTTTGTTTTTCTGAGCTAATCTCCTTTAAACTTTTGAATGGGTTCGATATTATCCATTTTAATTTGCACTTTTGAAAACAAAATATTCAGATGCTCCTCCATGTAAACTGAGAATCTACCAACACCTTTTTAAAAGCCGTACCCTGAACAACTACAAAGCATACAGATTTCACGCTCATCCTGACAGTATATTTTTGCTGCAACCATCTATGTTTAATTTTAAAAACAAAATTCTCTGCGCAGAATTTAGCTGAGAACTCATAATTGTGAGTTTTGCTTCATTGAAGAAAAATAATATTCTTGTTTTGGAATTGGACCTGCCTCTGCTGCACTTATCTTCTGGGCTGGAAATAAAACTGGAGCATACAGCTCTTCTACTGTTGGTTTCTTGTCTGATTTTCCCAACCCCCTTCCTCCTCTTTTGTGGCAGAATATTTTTGGTGGTTTTTGTTTTTTGTTTTAATTTGGAACGAGCATAGATATTTAAAAAAATTGACTTTATTGGCCGTGAGAGATTTTTTTCATATTCAACGTGAAAAATACGGGTATTTTTTGTAAGAAAAAGCATTAAAAGAAAGGAGCACGGTAGTGAAACTCCCAGGCGCCAGACAAAATATTCATTTGTTCTTTTTCAAGGAGACCGAGTAGAAAGCTGCCAAAGAGCCCCAGAAGGAAACAAGCAAGGTAAGAGAAGGACCATTCACATTCTTAATGAGGGGGCAGAAAAGTTACAGATGGAAAAAGACCTCTTATGAAGTTCAGTGCCTGCAGTTTGTTATTAAGTAGCTCCTGATCCAGGACTATGTAACTCTTAATCTGTTTTTTAATCATTATATAATGATTAAAATGAAAAATTAACAAATCTCCCTCTCAAGCTAATGTATTCACAAGCTAAAAATATCCCCAATTGACAGCTTCAGATACTTTAAAAACTTCAATTTTTCTCATATTCCTTGCTACTACTGAAAACTCCAAATGCCTCATTTATGAAAAAAATATGGAAGAAAATGGAAATAATGAGAAATGATTTCTTTTGAATTATTAGGGTTTGCATGCTGTTGCTAATAACTCTTACTATCATGTGGTGTGCTGTTTGGAAAATAGTGATAATTAATCTTGGCAATTTCAGTATAAGTATTGCTAGAATAGAGAAGCTGATTGAATGTAACCAAGTGGTCAAAACTTGAACTTCATCTATGATTAGTTACTGTTGGGCATTTAAATAATGAGTGGTGCAATTCTGTATAGACTTATTTGAATTAAATTCCATTGTGTTTAGTAGGACTTATCAATTGGTATGTGCAAAGGAGTACAGCCTCCCCCCAAGTAGTTTTTCTGATGTCTCTATTTCTTTGCTGGAGTATTCTTAATAAGGATAGATTTTTTCCCCTTTTTATATAGTATTTTTGATTAAATGGAACAAACAATGATTAAAAATAAACACAGAACTACAATGACAATTTGCATGTAATTTTACTATGAAACTTTGCTGAAAGTGTACCCAAAATCCTTGTGTTATTTAAATCAAAAGCTAGGCTCTCTAGAAACATAGCTCATGCATAGAAGAGTATTATGATACTTTTAATATTACAAAAGTGACTAAGGCTGATTTAAAATTCCTTAATGTTTTTGTCATTTTATAAACAGAATGCTAAAGGATGGTTTGATTACTTAAAAGTCTGCATATGGAACAGCAAACAAAATAACATCTCTGTACTACTCTAGACAAATGTTTTTATATCAATAGATTCATAACATAGAAACGTAGATTGTGAGAAATACCTACATATGAAATAAAGCATCTATAATTATTGAAATGTTTTTAAAAGCTGATAATGTGTTTCATTATTTCTGCATATTTGAGTTTTTGCTGTTGGTTTTGTCCATATAATATAATTATTTCCATCAGAATTTAGAAAAATGAACAGTTTTACACAGGAAAAACCCAAGACTTAATATAACTTGTTACAGGAATTTCTAATAATCATCAGAGTTGAGGGTCTCTCGGTTCTGTTTCAACTAGATATTCTCAACTTTGATCTAAAATGCCTCAGAAATATTTAAATTTCATTCATAGATACAAACATGTTTTATTGCTATTTTTATTCTCATTTAAATTTTCTACACAAGTAACCCTTCAATTAACAAAACATTTTATCATAGGTAACTTGAAAAAAGGCTATTGCCTTTTAAAAATTCATTAAAGTATTTTTCTTTCTTTCCAATGTAATTATAGTTATTGGTACATTTTGGTTAACTTTTTAGCATATTTGTAACATAACATGCTTTCCATTTTTAATTACTATGTTAAGTAGACTGAACAAAATACAAGATTTCTAGTTTTGCAATAATTTTGTTGCATTCTTAATTTTAGTGAAAATATGTTTTCACTGATCAAGAATTAAATGAACTTAATGATAGGGTTAGTGCAATATAAAAGACAGAAATGCATTCTGCTTTCCCTTATTGATTTTTCATATTTCCTGAAAAAGAATAGTCAAGCTGAGAGCGACTGACCAGAGCAAAGGAATAGTGGGCTTATAATAGATATAACTCAATGAACATGTCAATGCAGTGCGCAGCAGCTATGAAAAAAAAATGTGAATTCCATGCTGGAGATCATTACAAAGGAGCCACAAATAATACTATTCTGTAGTGTTCTGATGCAAATATATAATGTGACCATATTTGAAATGCTATATATGCAGCCAACAACTGTGTACTAAAAAGCATATTATCAAGCTGAAAACAGTGCAGAAAATGGTAACCATAATTATTAGACAATTCCATCATTTTCATATGTAAATTATCATTTAGTGCTTTTTAATTGAGAAAACAATGCAAAGTAACTGGGCAAAATAGCGGTATATAAATCGTACATGGTATACAAAGAAATTGATGAAGTTTTTCTTTTTCAAAATATAAGAATCAAAGGTTGCCAAATGATGCTGAGTGTTGAAAATGCTTCTTGACACATCATATAGATTCTGAAATGTATCACAACATACAGCTATAGCCAGCAACTTTGATAATTTTAAAAGGGATTATATATATTCATGCAGAAGAAAATTGCTAGTAAATATGCTACCTTCAGGATCAGAGAGAGCATGCTTAGACTATCAGTTACTGAGAAACAGCAGCAGAGGAAGCTGTTATTCCTTTCTTTTGGGATTTCCATTGGCCATTATAGAAATAAATATTGGACTAAGTAGGCCGGTGATTTGATTCACTTAGGTTCTGGTGTCAACAAGCAGTCTGCAAAGCACTTTAAAACAGTTAATTAAAATATCCCAAATGTAAGTTTGTTCTTCCTCACAATATGAATGTTGGAGGTCTGATATTGATAAAAAATACTATGTCAATGCTAGTCTATCAGCTAAGCAGGCACAATCTCATGAAGGGTATTTGTACTCTTAAATCATAAACTCTATAAGCTGTATATACTATATCTCTTGTGATTCAGTAGTCATGCCTTTGTGAAATTCATTACAGTTCTTGAATAGATAAGCTGATAAAAGAAAAGTGAATAATGCACTTATCTTTTGGTGAGAAATTCTGCTTTGAACCTTAAAATGTGTACTAATAAGATAAATATTCTGTATTTTGAAATTCTGTCCTTGTAACAGATTTTTTATTGGGTGAAAGAGATCCTTTCACATAATAATCACTATTTTCCCCATAGAAAGCAGTAACTTTTAATCTTTAATCTGCCATTGTAGCTAATGTACCATTTTGCAACAGTGATTAACATTGCTGGGCAGACAAATATTAAGGTATTAATTAAACTTTTCAGCTATTTTTGCTGATTTAAATCTTAAATTATAATACATCAGTGTTATAAATGTGTATCATAAATTGAAGGTTTACATGGTAAGCATTGGAGTATCATATGTCTAACAACAGGTTTTTTGGGTGTGGTGTCTTTGGATGTGTTTCAGAGATTCAATAT